AAAATGGGGTTCCCTCAACCCCCTCCTTGGAATCAGTTAATTTGCTAAACTTCTACCAGAATTCAGGGAAACCTTATGTTTACCCATTTACTATAAAGGATATTACAAAGGATACAGATGAGATGCATAGGGTGAGGTATGGGAGAAGGGGACACAGCTTCCATGCCCTCCCTGGATGCACCACCCTCCAAGAACCTCCACCGGTTCAGCTATCCAGAAGCTCAAGAACCCAGTCCTTTGGGGGTTTTATGGAAGCTTCATTACATAGGCTTGGTTGATTAAAACACTGGGTGTTGGCAATCAGCTTAACCTTCAGCCTCTCTCCCCTCCCTGGGGGTTGGGGGTGGGGATGAAAGTCCCAACCCTCCGATCTTTCCTTAGTCTTTCTGGTGATGGGTCCCCCTCCTAAAGATAAAGGGGCTGCCAGCCATCAGTCAACTCATTAGCATACAAATAGACAGTGCGTTGGATATTCTAAGAATGTCAGGGGACAGGGACTAAGACCAAATGAATATTTTCACAGTATCACACAAGTAATAGAATATGGATGATATATTTAATAATTAAATGTATTTTAATTTCTAAAAATATGACAAATTTATATTCCCTCTTAATGGTTAGGTGCAAAAGTTCAGGTGAGTTATGTTGAAGAAATATAAGTAGGAGAGGAAGTTACAGTAAATTTTCTAGTCTTCTCTAAGGGTGTGTTTAGATTATGATTTTAGATAAAAACTTTAAAACTTTTTAGCCCCAACCCATGTTGTATTAAATATATCTTTTAAGCCTTACATTACTTTTTAGAATTCTGATTATTCTTTCTCCAGTTGGAAAGTTAATGGAACATTTTGGTTTCCATTTTTCTTTCTCTCTAATAATAGTGTTACAGCTTTTAGATAGTGGTAGATGACCGTGTTCAACTAATTGAATGACTTTGACTATTTTATAGTAATAAAATTAAACTCTTTATTACAGTAGAATCTATAAAAATATTTGTAGAGTAATACTAATCAGTATTATTAGGGATATACTAAAAACAAAAGTCTCAGATATATATACACATATATA